CCAGAAACCGGTTCCCAGAAACCACTTCCCAGAAACCACTTCCCAGAGACCATTTGACCCGCGTTCCGAAACGATCCGAATCCGCGTTCCGAAACGAGCTGAATTCGCGTTCCAAAACGAGGCGGCGGCCCAACATCCAACAATGTTCACGAGAACCGAAAGCAAGCCATTAAAAACCAACTGCAACCAAATCACCCCAAAGCAAAACAACCCACCAAATTTAAAAGCTACCAAAAGCCAACAAAAGAGGCTATCAACACCTAGACATTAAAATCCGAGAGAACAACCAAAAGCAAGCAACCAAACACCAAACAAGCACAAAGAAACACCAAGCCACCAAAAGCTGCAGAAGCCACCGAAGTCCAAAGCCACAGAAACCCATGGCCGCCAAAAGCCACATGGCCGCCAAACAAACCAAAGTAGGTTCTTCAGGAGACTTGCGAGTGTACAAATGTGTAGAACCAAGGCAAGAAAGGTCCTTGTTTGGATCCGGTACCATTTGATAAAGACTCTTGAGGAGATTGGAGAAGACTTTGTGTAGATGTGCACGTTCACAAATGTCTCAGTAGGTTTCCTCCTTGCTTTCGGTCAGCTGAGTCTTGATGCGCCAACGGAGCCACAAGCCAGCCACAAGCCAGCCATAAGCCACAGAAGGGAACAAGGAAGACAACAAACACATCCAACATTTATCGCCCTCCTTTATTGAACATCTTCCAAGAAGTGTGTTTTACTTCCCCTTTCAATCTTGGTGGAACACGCTGCACACCATTTCAAAGGGTGCTCATGCCAAGCGACTTGATCTCCCTCAGGCGCATGTTGTTCCACTCCTTGCGCGGATTCCGGAACGGGGAGAGATTAGAGGTTGAAGTGTGTGGACACATCAAGTGAGATCGAGATGATGGAGACGGAGAGATCGAGAAGCAACTTTGAGAACTACCAGCAGCCCAGCAGCTCATAGTTTGGGCAGTTTGTGACTTTGTGACACTATATTGACCCCACTTTTGACCCCATATCACTCATATCGGATTGAAACGACCTTCATCCACCCTCCCAGCATCCCACGCCTTCCCTTTTTCACTCTTCCACTTTCTTGGAATCACCGTCCATTGAATCAACATGAGATTCACCGCCCCCCCTCACCTCACCGCCTGCACCGGTGAAGCCACCCTCACCCCGCAGAAAGCACCGCAGAGGTCCTCCGGCCCGGCCCACTGCCACCGATGTCCGCTCCTCCGGTGGAGTAGTACAAACAGGATCCAAAAACCACCCTTAGAACCCCAAAACCCCAAAAACCGAACCCCCCCCAAACAGCCCCAAACGTACCCCAAACCGCACCCCTCCACCCTCCGTGTGCGAAGAAGGACCGACTTAGATGTTTATGGCAGTCTTTTCGTCTCCTCCGTGGAGTAGTTGGCAGAGAAGGTAGGCCCGAACCACTTGGGACGCTTGGAGCCCATGGGCGCCGTGACGTTCCAGCCTGGAGCCGCCGCAGGGGGGCTCTCCCGAGCTGCGGGCGAGCTGCGGCCGTCCAAGCTGCGGGGGCAAAAGAGTGGGTTCCGAAACGAATATTTCAACCGCCAGGACCTTCAGTTCGTGACCTCTGACTGGAGTCTCGAATTAAGTGACCTCTTTAGGGACGATTCGTGACCTCAGCCACTAGGATCTCAAGGACGGTCACTTTGAAGGTCCTGGCTTATATTAGTGGGTATTGGACATAGATGAGCATGGTGAAACTAAAGCGAAACTGCATGTGCAGTCATAATGACTGCTCTGTTCGCGAAAAACGGCAAGAGCATTTTAGACATCCATGTGTCCACTTCGTGCTTTCCATATCGCTATGGCATCCAGGCGTTCCAACAGATATTCCATTGCTCTCGAGACCAAAAACCGGATGATCGCTCCTGGTTCCTGCAATCATCACAGTCCCACCTTGGAACCAGATCGCGAGATCCCTCCTTTCCATTGCAGACAGTGAATCGAACACACAGACTCAACCCCTTCAACGCTCTCAAACGACCAGTGCTTCCATAAATCGTCACCTTTCAGGGGAACTATTAAATCATCGTCACCCTTCGGGGAACCATTAAATAGCTCGCCTAGTTATAGCCGTGTCTTGTTCTTCCCTGCTGTGCTCGTCCAAACGAACGGCCGCGTTGGAGCGCTCACCGGGTGCCAAGTCACCCAAGTCACCAGGAGCCACGCCCTCCTGTGACACCCGGGTCCGCCCTCCCAGGTCCACCCAGGTCGTTGGAGTGGAGGATGGGTAGGTTCCAGGCCTTTCCATCTCTTACATCATGATGTTCTTGTTAACAAACTGCTGGTGTACTGGGACAGACCCTAGTTATGACACTGCAGGAGGCAATTGAATCATCTTGAATCCGCAAAACACACTCGTCGAACCAACAGCGTTCCTGTCTGGACTCTGGAGGGTTTGGAAGGAAATGACGTTCAGGCGGTGACAAGGCGGTTAATCAAGTTCAAGAAGAAGTGGGACATGCCCGGGAAAGGAACACGTCCTGAACATTGACAACTAAGTACGCCAGTTACATGTTTTCCTCTCCCTTGCCTATAGACGTTTCCTTGTTCTTAGGCCAGATCTTGTTTTCGTTGCAGTAGCTCCACAACTCACATGCTCTCCTTCAAGGATCGTCATAACATCTAATGTCAACCCACAAAACTCTTGGCTCAAATGGCCAGCAGTTTATTTGGCGGTTGGACAAAATATCGTCTCTGGAAGTTGAGTCAAGGGTTCTGAGGGTGGGCTACAACGAGAACTTGTGGGTTTCGCAGCCCATCCTGCAGGCACAGACTCATAGTTCCTAAAGACAAACAACTCTTCATCACGTTCATCAACTCCTCAAACAAAATGATACTCTCCCTGGAACTAACATGGAAGTGGAGTTCACCACCTGTTTGTAGTGGATTTCATGGTCCTTCCTGGGGCCCTCCACGTAACCATGTGAGTCTTCGGGAGTGGGCCCTCCACATTTCAAAGTTCTTCAACTCCCAGGAGACTGGTCACATCTGGATGTTCTGCTCCTCATGTCCTCGACTCCTTCCCGAAAAAGGAACACGTCGTCACTCGCTGCTCTCGCCACCGCGCTGCTCTCGCCGCTGACGCTCCGCTGCACCGAGGGCGATCCCCTCGGTGGCGGTCGGCCGTTGCGACAGGCTGAGCTGCCCGGCGTCGTATTTGCTGATGACGTTCCTCGGAGCGGCGGACGGCCTCCCTAGGCAGGGCATCCGCTCTTGAGCGGAGTTTTTTTAGGTCGGGGAACGCTTAGGTAGATGATCCGGGTGATCGAAAGTAGATATCCACCCTAATTGGATGCTGCCATTGACACCCCCCAAACTCCGTCCATCCACCTCAACATTCCACACCAACCCACCCACTAAACCTCTAGCTTCCGCCACCCCCACCCCCCTCCGCCCTCCGCCGGGAGGCTCGTAGCGCCAGAGCTCCGAGAGGGCGATCACCACGAGGATCTGCAGCCATCCGACGATCGGCACCTGACGATCGGCGGCACGGGACGGGGCGTGTCGCGCGAGGGGGACGTGAGAGGTGAGAGAGAGACATGGAAGAGTGGTGCCAAAGCTTTGAGATATAATTGTACATAGTTAGGCGGTGCAAATCTTGGGAGCTTGCACATGTCTGTGACCGGTTCATGATCAAAACGGAATTCGAACAGCATGCCAAATGGATTGAAGTTTCCAAACATGCACATCCCAAGACATGCAGGTGTTACTTTCGGGCCAGCCGCCGGAACTGGGAATTTTCAGGACCGACCGTGGAAGTTTGAAACACCAAGAAAGCGGAACATGTGGAACCCAAATCAAAAACATCAAACACATTGATTTGAGTTTGACCCTCCCAAACACTCCATGGGACATAGGCATTGATAGACCTTCACCACGTTTCAGCCAGCCACTCCAACTGATCGGCCAATCTGTCACTCTTCTGGGGTGTTTCGCCCCAAGGGAAGCTCTCTTCATCCAGCAGAGTCGGGGTCCTTGAGAAGGGGGAGTGGAGGACGCGACGAACGGAGCAAGGAGGACGCTACGAAGAAAAGGGGCTCCTGGCCGTACTACTAATAGGAACAAGGTTCGCTACTGAATTCAGTCCGTTGGGAGTCCTTCAGTCCGACGTGAACGGCGGACGGCGCCGAGCGGAGCGGCGCTCGGCCCTGCTCGCATGGAAAAGGAGATCTTGTGGATCGAAAGAAAGACCGAGAGAGTAGGGAACATGGGCAGGAACAGCCGGGTTGAGACCAAGCCATTCAGAAATTATATCATATAATCAGGTGATCTCTTTATATCACGTACTTTATATCTAAACGTCCCACTCATCCCCCCAAAAGAGCACGGCAAACACCAAAACAAACCGGCCGGTCCCCCCAAAACCCGACCACCGGACCTACGCCGGCCCGTGCTGGGCGGGCGCTTTGCGGCACCTGGGTGGCGGCCTTCAGAGGGTCCGAGGAGTCGGTCGGATAGCGTGTGATGAAGGGCTCGATCCTCGGACGAGGGCACGGAGCTTCTTCGAGCGCTTTAGCGGCTAGCTCGGAGCGGAGCGGGGAGGGACGACAGATCTGGTAGACTCCCGCAGACCAGCGAGTCTAGGGACGATTTTGGGACCCTCTGCAGATAATGGGCCTATTACTTTCAGGTCACCGGGTCCAAAGCCTCAGATCCTGGTTTTGAGGACCCGGGAACGGCCGGGTGTTCCAACGGTACGGCTGGGTTTCCCGGCTTGGCGCCGGAGGTCTGCACGGTGTAGCCCAGAGTCTGAGAGCGAAAACGAGCGCATCCGAAAACGTGAAAAACGAAGACCTACCCAGATCATCCCTGAAAGTCAAGCAGGAAGAATTCGATAGCGTACATATCAACAGGAATCCTAGATCTGTGGAATTAGTTCATGACATCCTTTCCCAAACAGTGTGGCCACGCGATTTTTTGCAGTCGGGGAGGGGTTCTAGACCGGGCATTGGCCTGGTTTGTGGCGCTATTTTCTTGTCCTTGAGCTGTTGCAGTCGTCTTCTGCTTCCTCATCTTTATCCTTTATCCTTTAGTCTTCCTCATGTCGCGTCTAGCTCCTCCGAGTGTGAACTCCGTGCCACTTGCTCTCAGATGGCCGCTAACAACCGGCCGTGCCACTGGTCGCACGTGCTGAACAAAAGCAACCGCAAAAGTTGGCTCACAGCCCTTCTGGTCATCCACTGACTTCTGACTTGCTACTAGCTTGTTCATGGATGGTGGCTCCACTTCAACCAACTCATCTTCCGCTGGTAGGTCTCCACCACCCCTGAGGGGGGCAAGCATCTCCGAGGTCTCCTCCCTGCTTAGGCAGAAATAGATCGCTTCTAGGTTGGAGGCCATCGCTCCTGGGTTGGAGGCCATTGCTATTAGAATGCTATTAGGTTGGAGGGTGCATGTCTTTCTGGCCAACTGACCAGCCAGCCGGACCACAGAGCAGAGGTGTGCCTCACTGGTAGAACTTTGTTTTGCCAGGGGAAGTGAAGTAGAGGGCGGTAGGCGGTAGACACATTACCCCGCTGGGGGTGGAACTGTATCAGTGAGACTAGAAACATAACACCACCGTGCAAAAAGATCATCCGCTGGATTCTTTCTTGGTGGCACCAACCGAAAATATAGACTTAATAAATGATTCGGCAGGATCCCATGTAACCCCCTTATTCAAAATGATCGAACACGTTGCCCCATGCAACCCTGGTGTTTCCACACTCTCATTTGCATGAGTCACCCAACTACAGCCATCAAGACACCAATATCCAACTACAAACCGCCCTTGTTTCACCAATTGGAAAGGAACCTAACAACCCCGCGGCAAACCATGCAAAAACCGTTGTGTTCCGCTGGTCAGTTCATCCCCGCCAGCTCGTCCTCCCACCATCCCCCTAAACACCTGGGTCTCCGAACTGCCAACATGCACACGCGCCCGTGTGCCAGCTCAGCCTCACGGTACCTGGGGATGCGGCACCTTCTGCCATACACTGGAATCCATTGAGCTCCCCAAAATACCCTAACTACCGTGATTCTCTCCCATTGTTAACCAGGGGCCTCTTGTATTATATATCTTTTCTTTCCTTAATAATTAGGCATCACAAGCAACCGGCCGCTGTCCAAAAAATGGCTTTGGCCCTGGGCTGGCCTCCCGCATTTTCTGTGGTGTGCGTTGTGAGTCAAGGAGGCACAGCCAACATCCAGAAAATTTCCGGCGCGCATTGTACCGCAGCTTCCGTTTACACGCGCATTCTTTCCGTTCTCCAACGGCACGGAGCCACACAAACGCACTTTCCACCGAAGCCGCGCCAAACCGCCTGGCACAGCCAAGCCAACGCCGTAATGTCGCCCGCACTGTGTGCCAACTGAGCGACAACAAACCTCATTGACACCTGGTTGGAACCACAAATCATCCCGCTCACCAGCGACATGTTCGCTCAAATACGAGGGCAGGAGGCCCGACTTTAGCAGGTCAGCGCAACAGCCCATCCCCGTGGTCAGTGCGAGCAAAGCGGGCAGGAGGCCATCCTGTTCTTCGAGGCCAGGCGAGTGAATGAGTGCGAGCGAGTGAAACAGAGGGCAATCGGAGTGGATCGGGGTGAAACAGACGACGGATCGGCCGCAAATAAAAGTAGGAACCCCGCCGCGCAAAGAGGTGGGGAACGGGGAACAAATGAACAACATACTTGCAAGCGTCAGATCCCAAAACGGATGTGAACGCAAAGAGGTCAATCTCAGATGGCGCCATGTCTTCTGCTTTCCAGGTCGAATGGCCAGCCGCGGTGGAAAGCGGTGTTGAGACGGGGTGGTCGGTTCTTGCTGTGGGTGGAATGCGGGTGTCTGGGGTGGTCGGTATTGTGGAATTTGGATGATGATTTTGGCAGAATGTGGAAGGAACCACACGGATCAGAAAGGCATCTGGGAGTAGCATATCTGAAGATGTCGCCAATGTCGCCTGTCTTGTGGCAATTGAATCATAGTCTGAACCTTAAGGTACGTAGTACCCAATGTAAGCTTCGTGAATCCAACATAATTATCCAAGTATAGGCCATGTATAGGAAGCGCACAAATGAGAGCAAGTATGCGAGCACACTGGTGTGTGATCACACATGATGATCACAACGCCAGCAGAAATAAATTTGAGAGAACACTTGTGAGAGAAACATGAGAGCACATATCTAGCATAGCAGCATTATGTTGTGATCTATGATCCTGACCAACCATACCGTAGACGTATGCATAGCACGTCGAGTCTAGGTCTGGATTCCATCTGGGTTTTGATCGTGGATCCCATTCATTCAACATCTTGGTTGGGGTGCCTACATAGCTTCCATGAGTGTGTCCTTGTCCACCCCAGTTGATCAAATGTCTATTCCATCTATTCCTCACTCCAGAACGGGTTCCCATCTTGAACCACCACCTTCCTCTTAACCGCAGGCAGCGCGCCAAGGGAGCAAGCGAGAGTTCTTGGCCTCAGCGTCCACGTCCCAACGACACTAACGCGGTTCCGTCCCAACGACGTCAACACGCGAGCGACACGAGCGTGTTTTTGAGGCTTATTGCGCCAATAAGAAAGCAAAGTCAACACCAGAATTTGAAGGGCACCTTTCAGAGATGACCAGTGGTCCTTGTCAACAAATCATACACACACACATGTATGGTTTGGCATTTCTGGACTCTGGCCAGCCATTCATTCTGATTGTCGTTGGGTTCGGTCCGATTCCTCAAGACAAAAAAGCCCCAACGACAGAATCGCGTGCAGATATATACTTTCAGCAACCATGCCTCGGATCTGTTCCATCTTCTGCCCAAATACCCATGGGGTCATGGAGTCAGCAGTCAGCTGTCAGCAGCTCCTGCCTCGAAAGCAACGCAACGCACCAAAACACCTCGACCGCCGGTGCCAGCGCCCCGACCCGCCACGCCGAGCCGAGCGGCGAAGCCGGCAGGGTCGAAGCCCACGTCGCCCACATAAGGGCCGAAGAGGTCGTTGGAGAGGCCTTCCAGGTCGTCGACTTGACCGCAAACATGGATCTGGAATCGCTAGCTAGTCACTACAAAGGACGCGACATCGAACGGAGCATTTCGGGCATCCGCGGCATCGAACGGGCATACGCGGCCACTGGAGGCCATTGGCTAGGTAGGTTGGAGGCCTTCCATGGTCCTCTACCACCCCGGCCTTCCGGGACCTTCTCCCAAGGGATCGCCTCACTGTTTCCACCCGCCTTCCTGAGGATCGCACGGCCGCGGCGACGGTTGGCGGGGTCGGTCGGTGCTTCCACGGGTTGGGTGAAGTGGCCCATGGCCAGCCCCTGGCCGTGCAGCCCTGGGAGAGCCTCACCAGCTCCCAAAGGGACCAACGAAACCAACGCGTTCGGTGTGTCGCAGGATCCAAATAGATACAACCGTGCAGTTGAAGGTTCTTAAAGGCTCTGGTGGATCTAAAACGAACTCAATCTCGTATCTTGTTAGTCCAGATAGCGTCGAGCTGGGTTCTACACACATGCCAGGCATGTAAGCTTTGCATGGAACCTGAAAACCACTCGGTTGTAGAGGAAACTTGTCTTCCAGTCTGGTCCATGCCATCAGGTTCCATCTGGGTCTCTTCCCCAGTGTACTTGGAAACATGCACACTTGGCCATGTGGAACCCTTTCCCATTTCTTATTCCCAACATGTTCAGACTCCCTTGGACATCGGATGAGATTGGATGCAAGGTACCATACCCTTCCCATCTTGCCTCTAGAATCGTTGGGAATGGCCCTTGACTCCATTCCTGCTAAGTAGGCGGCCCGGCCGCAAAACATCACTATTCCAAACATTCCTGATCTACAGTGAATCTTTATGAATCTTTGCTCACGCCACATGGCCAAAGTGCTCCTTCTCTTCTAGACTCATTCTGCGCTGTATACACCGCAAAACTTGGGAGCAGCTAAGTTTGTGTCTTATTTGAGTAATTTTGGTGTCCCATATCGATCAAGAACATGTGTTCTAAACATATAGGATTTATAGGAATGTTATTATTTGATGATGATGATGATGATGATGATGATGATGATGATGATGATGATG